CTGTGATCAGATATGACAACCCATATATCAACACGCATCAATGATGGCAATTCAAGAATAAAGAGCTCAATGATTAATTAACTCCATAGGAAACTCTAGCAAAAAACGTTTAATAAGCTTTGATATGTAGCAATAATGCCTCAGACTCTCACAAAGGATTCGTTAGTGATTGAATGTCAAAGAGAATCTGATCTCCTTACAGGAAGATTAATATGGTAATGATAATCCCTAGAGACTTGGCTTGCATTGTTGAAGAGGGTTGGTGTTCCCGCCACCAGAGGTCTCCCTGGTCGTCCCGGGCGGGGAGATAGTTGGTGTTCCCGCCACCAGAGGTCTCCCTGGTCGTCCCGGGCGGGGAGATAGTTGGTGTTCCCGCCACCAGAGGTCTCCCTGGTCGTCCCGGGCGGGGAGATGGTTGGTGTTCCCGCCACCAGAGGTCTCCCTGGTCGTCCCGGGCGGGGAGATGGTTGGTGTTCCCGCCACCAGAGGTCTCCCTGGTCGTCCCGGGCGAGGAGATGGTTGGTGTTCCCACCACCAGAGGTCTCCCTGGTTGTCCCGGGCGGGGAGATGGTTGGTGTTCCCGCCACCAGAGGTCTCCCTGGTCGTCCCGGGCGGGGAGATGGTTGGTGTTCCCGCCACCAGAGGTCTCCCTGGTCGTCCCGGGCGGGGAGATAGTTGGTGTTCCCGCCACCAGAGGTCTCCCTGGTCGTCCCGGGCGGGGAGATGGTTGGTGTTCCCGCCACCAGAGGTCTCCCTGGTCGTCCCGGGCGGGGAGATAGTTGGTGTTCCCGCCACCAAAGGTCTCCCTGGTCGTCTCAGGCGGGGAGATGGTTGGTGTTCCCGCCACCAGAGGTTCCCGCCGTCGTCCCGGGCGGGAGAAAGGGAGTTGATGGGTGAAAAAAATGGAGAGACGATGGATAGAAGGAAAGGAACAGGTGTAGGGTAGATAGGGAAGATCGATAAGGCGGTGGAGGAGCAGGAGATGGAGGCACTAAGCAAGAGGAGAAGAAGGATTTGAATGAAAAGAGAGAAGACAAAGGAGGAAGTAGAAAGGTAGACTACAGAGGGAATACACGTCAGGGGCCAGATTCACGAAACAGTTACGCAAGCACTTACGAACCTTTACATCTTTTCTCAATCTTTGGCGGCTTTGTTTACAATTATTAAACAGTTAATGAACTCCGAAGCACCAGGAGGCAGTTTATAACAATAACAACAGTTGATTGGCAAGTTTTCATGCTTGTAAACTGTTTAATAAATGTAACCAAAGCCGTCTAAGATTGAGGAAAGATGTACACACGTTCGTAAGTACTTGCGTAAGTGCTTCGTGAATCTGGCCCCATGTTTCCGTATGTTAACTTCCCTACAGACCCTGAAACGAGGCGGAGAGTAGTGCAAGGATTGTTTGGCTCTTGGAACTGCCCGTCGCCCCAATTGGCGGGAGATATGGCCCCACCAATCAGAGCGCGTCTGTTCCACCAGACACAGGCCATAGAACAGTGTGCTCTTGACTATAAGCTTCATGACCCATGCAAGAGTCGCAAGACTGGAAGGTCCATGCAAGAGTCTCAAGTTCGCAAGACTGGAAGGTCCATGCAAGAGTCTCAAGTTCGCAAGACTGCAAGATATCAAGACGAATATTTCATTAGATATCGTTGTGGATGTTATTTTCGATATTTTAAGCTGTGTTACAAGTGACCAAAAATGTGTAACATTTGCGTAATACAAGATTGGATTCCCATTGGATCCTCACTTACGAGGAGTTTACACTGTGAGTACTGTGCTACTTGGTGTACTGTGCTTTACAACTAGGTGAGCACTGTGCTCGTCAGGGGTTATCTTGAGAT